CCCCAAAACCCCAAAACCCCAAAACCCCATGACTCAACATGCAATTTAAACATTGATGAATAAAATTAATTAAGTTTGATCTAAAGTAGAGAGGTATTCCTCCAATTTAGTATTAGCATTTAAGTATAATATAGCTCATTATACATTAACTTAAGTATAATATTATGATAGACTTCCTTAATCATTAAGGAGAGTATATGATCAGTTTGAATGGACTCATTCTTCTTTATTAAACATTCCAAATATTAGTGTGATATCATCGATATCTAGGTTTGCCTTTTTCTCCATTAAATTCTATGGCTATTTCATCCATCTTCGATTTGCCTCATTTAGCACTCGAGAAACGAATTCTTTAGGTCCATAGCTCTTGCCATGCATAACAATCATTTTTCCTAACTCTTAGGATTTGATAACATCCCAGATTCCATCAGAGGCTAAAATTATACCAAGAATATTATCTTCTTTCTTAAATGGTTTAATACTTATATCAGGATCAGCAATGACTCCTAATGTTTTAGCTAATCCGTCTCCTATTGATCTAGACATTGCTAGTCCTGGTAAGTCTAGAACTGGAGACCACACTCTATACGCACATTCTTCAAATTACTCTGGATCCTCAGCTATGTGAGCCTCAAATCTTTATGGAAGTTTGCGCACTTTTCCTTTGTATTACTACTCTATTCTGTATTTTTCTTCTGGTTTTTCAGGCTTGTGATCAGCAGTCTCGAAAAGTACCTCACCATCTTTATCTTTCACCAATATACATCTAGAGTCTCCACAATTCGCTGTTACAACATACTACTTGCATACTAAAGCAACAACTAGTGTGCTGCCGCTAAGTTGAGTATCATATTGCTTCTAGCTCTCTATCTATTTATTTATACTGTAGAATAACTTTTGAAGTAGCAATTTGATATAAATTTCAAATAATTGGTGGCCATCTTCAACGTTATCCAAAAGATCAAATATAGAATCAATATTCTTTAGCTTAAGCTACGTCTTAGCCATCCTCTTATCTTCGAATTCAAATATTTAAATAATGGCTTTTTTAATCTGCTTTGATACGAAATGCCCATTTGTACCATGACCATCAGCGACTGCTAATAGGTAAGCATTTTCGATATTAGATACATTTCTTTTCACTATTAATCTGTCTTGATTGACTTTTGTTTGTTGAGATGAAGAACCTTTTTAAGTTATCCAGCTTAGATTTAATAACTATTATTCTAAACCAAGCATATGTTTTTCATTGAGAGAATCAAATCTTCTGATAGGAGATAAATTGATGACTTTCTTTTAAGAGTTATTGAATTTCATCTGATTGTTCTTTTAAAAGAGAGTTTTGGTTTCTATAAACTCAGGAGCAAAGTTTATTCCATACTGATTTGAATGATTTGAAACTTACTCATATCTATGAGCATTTCTTTATTTTTCTAATTGAGTTAAACTGGGTTTTGGAATTTCACTATTTGAGCTAATGCTCATTGACTTTTTGCTTGAATTTTAGGACTTTAGAAGTTCTGGAAACTGGTTTTATTCAAAAACTTTTTTTGTTTGAGGCGTTTTTAATTGAGTTTAAGAAGTTTAATTACTTAGTGAAGTAGTCAATTTTTGATTCTAAAATCTTCTATCAAATATGCTTGATACTCTTATGTGGTATTAATCGTCTTTTTACTCTCCCTATCTGGTGAAAATCTTTTCATAATTATTCCTTATGTTTTCTTTCTATATAACTTTCAATTTAAGCTTTGAACTTTTCTAATTAAGTTCATCTTGATGGTGCTAGCTGATATGATAGAAATCAGGACCATTTAATTTCAACTCCTATTTAGATTCCTATTTATTCCCTATTTGGTGTTTTACATTGGATTTATCGAAGCTCTTAACTTGCATGTAGCTGGAACCTTAAAGTTCAGTGAATTTACTAGGAGTTTTTTGGAAAAATAGATTCTAGGTAGATGAAGTGTAGTAGGGAGAATTTTTCACAATTCCTGGGCTATTTGAAATCAAAGATGAGCTCTTGAGCATTTTTAATAATAATAATAAATTATTGAATAGATTTAATGCTTGTAAAAAAACAATCCCAATTTTCTCATTAATATTTTAATTCTACATTCAACTTTTTGACTTAATTTTTTTAAACATTCCATATTAATTTCACTCATTAGTCCTAAAGGGGTTTTGGGGTTTTGGGG